TCAAATGAAGGGGCTTCCATCAAATCGGAGATATTTTTGCTTTTAAAAAAAAATATGTATTTTTCCCTGAATAAATATAAGCTACAGAGAAAAATATTAACTTACTAGTGGTACCTGAAGTTTCTCACCATCCTCTCCTTCCCCGGAGAGTTAACAAAAGAAACATGACTATAAACGCAGCAACACAACTTCAGGAAGGCCCCATTGGGACCCTCCACCACACTGCCTGATACAGAGTTAAAGAAAGTGCCTTTCCTCACTGCTGGAAGAAAAAAATTAAGGCACCAAAAGTAAGGAAAGTGGACCCTGTGACTGGCCGAGATGCGCTTGAGGAGGGAGCGTGACTCACGAAACCGTCCTGGCAAAAAGGAGCAGAGCAGAGCCCTAGCCCAGGGGCATAGTTAAGCGCTGAAGACTCGGGCTGAAAACTTCTCAGTCCTCGTTACCTCTGAATTTAAACCATCCTCTGACCTTTACAATGAAATGAACTGAAGTCAGCAAAACTTCTCAGTGGCCTTGTGACTAATTCTGATTCCACCTCCAGTTAGAATGGTTATTTCTAAGGCCCTCTTAACACAAGCAAGACATGGCCCAAATTCCTAAGGGACTTGCCAAATATCTACTTCTGAGATGTCATAAGAGCCCAAAGCTCTAATGTTCTTAAGAAGGAAAAAGGGATTCACAGAACCTAAAGCTGATGCTTGAGTAATTGGGTTAATAAATAACTAAGGCCACCAAGCGCGAGATGAAAATGACTGATAATAATGAATATTGAGTAAGTACTAACTCTGTGCCAAGGACTGATGTCAGAACTCGCCATAGGCATTGTGGCATGGAGGCCCAGCAACAGCCCCACTTAAAGATGAACAAACGGAGGCTTCGAGGAGTTAAGTAGCTTGCGCACAGTTAACATTAAACCTAAGCAGTTTAAAACTCAGCTTTCAATCACTAAACTACTTAAGTAAGAATTTATCGACTAGTGCAATAACGAAACAATTTAAAATAAAAACCAGTGATCATGAAGACAAGGCAGTGGCATTTGCAGGCTGAGAGCAATTTGATTTAACTTTGAAGAACAAAAGCTTATTCTTCTAAGAAGGAATCAAAACACGTTTTCTGTGGAAAAAGAAACCATTTGAACTGCACTGCCAAAATAAATCAGGCAGGGGCAAGTTAAATCTAACTATTCAGGACAAGGAGACAGGCTGGAAAGAGTGAGGAGAGGAGGCGGAGGCAAACAACTGATTTTGTTTCTTAAAAAGAGAAGGAACGAGAGAGAAATCCTGACCCGGTCTTGATAATGTTCTACTTAGAATACTAAGTCTAGTTTCTAGTAACGATCAACTAATTAGAAAAAAAAAAAAAAAAAAAAAAGAAACCTGACCAATGAGTAGATATGTATTTGAATATTTGAATCAATTCTACTGTAAAACAAGGCACTCCAGGAAAATAATTTGGTTAAAAATCCACATTTAAATAAAACATTTTTTAGGAAAAAAGACAACTCTAAAACCTGTATTAGACTGTATGAAAGGCACCTAATACTCCTGTTCTACTGTATTAGCCACATTTTAGAGCCAATCCTTTCAATGTAGTCCAGAATCAGAGATTTGGACCCAGAAGGAAAAGTTTCAGGATTTCTCTAGTTGGAAAAATGAAGTCATGTTGAATACCCCAAATATACTCTTCCTGGGGATGAGAAATATAAGAAACCTAGCAAGAAAAATTCTAATGATACATAATGTTTTAAAATGTCAAAGAATACCCCTTCCCCTCCTTTTTCAGAGTCCATCCTCTGTTGGGGTCATCACACATGGTCACTCAACAAGTCCCCAAGCCCAGCAGGCTCTCACCATAGGACCTGCTTCCTGGTCCCAGTGGGTGGTGGAGTCTGTGACCCCCAAAGCCAGGCTGCCTGGGTTGGACTCAAAACTCCATCACATGTGTGTTAAGTAACTAAATAAGTTGCTTAAACTCTCTGTGCTTAAGACTTTCATCTGCGAAATGGGGTACTAACTAGTACCCACCTGTTGCTATTGTAAGCACTAAATCCGTTAATACATGGAACGCGCCCTTCTAAGCAGGCCAGGTACATCGTAATATTCAATAAGCAGTAGGTATTATAATTAAATTACTTTATGACGTATGAGCATTCATGATTTTATTCACTCTACCTTTGAGTTTGTTTGGAAATTTCCAAAATAATTTTTTTTAAATGTTTTATTTCAAGATTAATTACAAGTTGAAGGCTCGGAAAACGCAGCCCCTTTCTAAGTCATCTGTATGCTGGTTTGGGTGGCACAGCACAAGGTGACTTCTCTCCATGGAGAGTCAGCTCCATGCCAGACACTCTCCTGGCATGTGCCTTAATCAATACACTTAACATCCTGTTTCACATACAAGGAAACAGGGGATAAGGGCAGGTAGGTACAATTTCCAAGTGGTCAAGTTAGGATGTGAATGCATGTCTTCTGATCAAATTCAATGCTCTTTTACATAATCCTGGTGGATGATTATGTACTTCGTAGGGAATATCAAATTTAAACCAGTGAGATGTGGTAAGGACTTCAGAGGATTGGATCAAATTCCTATAGACACAGACAGGCACAGACAGAATTTGGACCTAGAAAACCAACTAAGCAGTCCTAATTCTTGAATCATCCCAAATCTCAAGCTCCTGTCTCCGGGCCACAGTGGCCGAATCCAGCCAGGGCACGTTATCCGCAAGGCTCTAATCCGCCGGAGGCTTGCACTTCCTGCCTGAGGTGAGTGGTGTCTTCTTCTGTGTGGCCTGCTCCATCTGTCGACACACCCCAGGCTGATGACTCACACGCAGACTGTCACCACAACCCATGCTCTCTTGGCAGCCAAAGGGACTGGGCCGTCCACACCTTAGACTTGACTAGCCAGATGCCTCTCTTCTCAGACAGACAAGTGCTCATGACTTTAATCAGAAGGCTTCTCTGATTTATCAAAGTCACTCAGGATTCCAATTCTATGAGTAACATCTAAGGTACCATCTACTCTGTCCAACAAAACTTTCTGCGACAATGGAAAGGAATGTACCTGCATTACCGGATAGGCAGACCCTAGTCTTCTGTGGCTACTGAGCATTTGTAATGGGATCAGTGCAACTGCAGAACTAAATGTTTTATTTTAATTAATGTAAATGTAAGTAGCCACAGGTGACCAGTGGCTACCATATTCGACCAGGAGATTCTAGATTATTGGTGGAAACGTTCCCCATTCATGGGTCTAAGGCTGCCCCTCCATGAGCAACCTAGGATGGCAGAAGAGTATAACGGGCCCTGTTGCCAGACGCCCAGACTCACATCAGCCCCTTTTCAGCAACCTGAACATATAGCTTACCCTGTTCATTCTTTGGTTTCTCATCTATAAAACTGGGATAGTAGTATCCATTCCATTACCAGATGTTCATAATGGTGACATGTGAGATGCACAAATACAGCACCCAGAAGACTAGAATACTGCACTGGCACTAGCTGCTTTTATTATTATCTTCATCATTCTCTTCCTCTTCCTAAATTCCTCTTGGTTGGTTTCTCAAAACACCAACAGCTGGCTGAGAAGCCAGAGGCAGACTTCTGCACTCTCTCTTCTTTAAACAAAGCCTCTGTTCAGCTCCTAAACTCAGGAGAAGGGGCCCGATCTCCTGGAGGGCAAAACTGAAATAACTAGCACTGGAAAGCTATCAGAGCCCTGATGCCTACAGAATTCAGGCGCACACTCTTCCCGATTACTTCCAGGTCCTCCTCTGAGCCTGGGCAGACTATCAGAGAAGCTTCACTCAAAAGCCTCTTCTCTTCCCCACTCAGCCCCACCAGCCAAAAGTGAAAGAACGAATAATAATCAGCAGTATTGACTTAGCATTTCCTATGTGCCAGGCCCTGGGCCTCCTGTATTATCTCAAGGAAATCTCACTGCCACCCCGTGAGGCAGGAAGCATCACTTCCATTTTCTAGTGAGGCATGAAAAGCCAAGGTACCTTGCTCAGGTCCCAGTGCCAGTGCATTGCGAACTGGGATGAGAACCTGGCCACCTGACTCTAGGGCCCAGGCTCAATCTCGCTGCTTCCCTGGGTCTCCAAGGACCCCGCCAGTCCATTCCCCTCCCTCCCTCCTTTGCCTTAATGTTCAGCCTCTGATGGTTCCATTACAGCTTTTGGAGCACGAGCACTTCTGAGTTCTCCTACTCACACTTTTACATATAACAGGAAACATGAAAAGGGTGAATGCTACTCAAGCCAGAACAGAAAGAATAAGATAAAAGCCAAGACAATATCAAATGATTACAGGCTTATTTTTTTTTTAAGCAATAGCTTCCAAATTAAAAATTGCCAGACCAAAAAGCCTTCACTTTGCTTTTAAATTGCTTCAAAATATTTGGTGGAAAGAGTAATATTGCTACCGGAGGTATTTTAGAACTATGGCACCTCAACGAAAACTGGTTTCCAACTCAATGGAAAGAGCTTGCTCCAGCATTTTTCAAATCGCAGTTTACCTAGAAATGATGACAACATTATATTTAATTTGATCTGCATGTTTTTTTAAAGGAAATTTCACACACTACCGACATTTAAAAACCTGATTTCACATTTAATAAGTCTAGGCTTCCACCTTTTCTTGCATAAGATCTAGAAACATTAAGTGCCTTCTGCCTTGTGGTAATACAAGCCCTATAGATGGGCTATGTGATTTCTGGTTTGCCACAGTCCCCATCACTCCATATTGCCTCCTAAGTAATCCTCTCTCCTCAGTATCATGCAGGCCAAGGCCCTGGAGGCACCCAAGTGTGTGGCCTCTTCATAAGAAACTCTGGGCAGACTAGTAATAGTGTTCAGTGTCCTGAAGTCCCACCAGTTCCAGGAAAGCATTCTCTTTGCCCTGCCAAGTCATTCCTACACTCCCCAGGAGGATCTGAGTACCTTCTCCCCACATGGCACTGATCTGCCCCCAATGTCACCAAATCCACAAACTCACCTGCTACTCTGTGCCACTTCGTTCTCTCTTCACAGGTGTCACAGGCACCTCCCCATTGACGCTTTCGGTTCCACTAACCAACATCAAACTCCTCCGCTCCTTCTGATTTGACTTGTGTTCCACTTTTGTAACTCTAAACCTGAGGGGGCAAAGAGGAGATTTGATGGGTTTTGCTTTCCCAGTAAACAAGGATTAGAAGTGAATCAAAAATCATTCCTCTAGAACAGCGGTTCTCAACCCGTGGGTTGTGACCCCTTTGGGGGTCGAGCGACCCTTTCACAGGGGCCACCTAAGACATCGGAAAACAAAAAGATACTTACATTACGATTCATAACAGTAGCAAAATTACAGTTATAGAGTAGCAACGAAAATAATTTTATGGTTGGGGGTCACCACAACATGTGGAACTGTATTAAGGGGTCGCGGCATTAGGAAGGTTGAGAACCGCTAGTCTAGAGGATCCCAAACGCACTCAGCCAAAAGTCAAGACAGCAGTGGAAAACGCCATACTCAGCAGGAGGGGCATTCCTGCCTAAAAAACGCCCCTGCCAAACTTTCCGGCTGATGTTCATACACCACCACACAGATTACACTGGGTACTTTACAGAGCATGGTAAATGCATTAAGAACACGGTACTTGAATGTTACACAGCCCCAGAGCTGCGGTTTCTAAAGATGACATGGGCTTTAGCATCAGTTGTTTCAACCACAGGAGGCTGGAGGAAAGCATGAGTGGTTTGCAAATCAGACTGACGCAATGATGTAGCCAAAATGTTCACTCAAGAGCTGCCTTACTCCAAGCCCACCTGTCAGAGTCCAATTTCTACACACACATGGCCAGAGGAGCCCCAACTATGCATTTTATCAGTATCAGTTGGAGGTAGGGTTTTTGTGTCTAGTTTTTTGTTGTTGGTGTTTTTTTTTAAAGCAAATTTGGGTTAATTTTCATTAAGGATTAAGGAGAAAGTTAAGGAAGTTGAGAGATTTTCATTAAGAATTTAGAGAGAAGGTATAAAGAAATGTGCTCGGTTTGACTGTTTTTCTAGTCCCTCATCATCAAATCCCAAAAGTCTTTCATAGTAACTTCTCTCTAGTTCTGGCCGTAAGTTCCCTTAAAACTATCTCATATAAAATTCTTCTCTTTCCAACATGAGCTCACCTACCATCAGCAGGAAGGAAACTGAGGAAGTGAACAGAGGATCGGGGAACAGTTGGAGCCACAACTCTATCCCGTAGAACTGTAAGGCTCTCAAGCAATGCATGCTGAAGAGCAATCTGCGATAATTAAACTCGAGCATTCTTTGTCCAAGAAAGAGAGAGTTGGATTTGGGACATTTAAAAAAACAAACAAAAAAAAACCATGTTGAATCTGGGCTGAAAATTTCAGCAGATTTGTTTTTTAAAGCAAACAAAATACACTTTGTCTAAAGAAGCTACACGTTCTCATTTCATTCCACATTCATAAATTCCCATGACTCTGCTTCTCACTAAAGCAGTGTGGTCATGAGTTGTACTGTTTTGCTGGAAGCGGCAAACAGCCCTGCAGTCTTCTCCTCATTGCTTGTGCAACACATGATGAAATTCAACCGAATTAATAAAATACCCAATACTTCATGAGTGCATTATATGTGTTGAAAACTAGTCTAAGACTTTTACATGAATCACCTTATTTAGTCTTCAAAGCAACCCAATCAGGTGAGTGTTACTGCCATCCCCATTTGATAGAGGGGGAAACCGAGGCATGGAGAGAAGCAAGAGTTTGTAAATAGTGGTACCCAGAATCAAACGAGGGCGATGCGGTGAGGCTGGGCTACTCTTCCCAGAGTTTGTCAGCAGAGAAAGAAGGGTCATGCGTGCAGTACTGTCAACTTTTGCTCAGAGCTTCCCAGTCTGGCTTTAGCACCCATGCTCTTAACCATTACTCTGTTCTGACTTCCTAAATTCAGCATCAGCAGTGCAGTTCCTGCATGAGGCTCAAACTCAAAACATTGGACATTGCAAAAGCATTCCACTGCAAAAACACTCTACCTAGAGTCAAAGTAATTTATCACTAGGCCTGCAAAATGTCCACATCACACATTGGTCACAAGTAAATAATACTTTAGGACTGGAAAGCCCAGGACTCAGGAGAAATGAGCTGAGAGAAAGCAGTCACAGGAATCCACACGGCTCTTACGCGGCACAGGCTGAGAACAGTGCACCAACTCCATCTCTCCCCTTTGTCCTGGCACATGGCTAGGCATTTCCCAGCAACCTGGTAGTGAGGTGTGACCGAGTGATTGAGCTCTAATCAGTGGAATGTGAGCGGAATGAAATGTGCCACTTCCAGGCCCATCTCATTAAAACCTCTCCTGAACAAACCTCCGTGCGCTTTCTCTTCTGCTGGCAAACCTAGCAGAGCCACGAGATGGGGCTCCGCGTGACTGCTTGAAGAAGCACCCACTGATCCTTCAATCCCCACAAGTGAAATATAAACTTCTATTCTGTCAATAGTTGAGATGTGGGCATTAGCTATTATAGCAAGTGTCATGGTTAATCTTATGTGTCAACTTGACTGGTAAAAAGTTATTTCTGGGTGTGTCTGAGGGGGTTTCCAGGAGAGATTAGTATTTGAATCTATAGTCTGAGTGAAGAAGACCACCCACCAATGTGGGTAGGCATTAGCCAATCCCATGAAGGCTTCAATAGAACAAAAAGGCAGAGGAAGGGGGAATTTGCTCTTTTTGCTTGAGCTGGGATATATGTCTTCTGCCCTCGGACATCAGCCCTCCTGGTTCTCAGCCCTTCAGACTGGGACCAGGACTTATACCATCAGCTCTCCTGGTTCTCAGGCCTTTGAACTTGGACTGAATTAACCACCAGCTTTCCTGGATCTCCAGCTTGCAGATGGCAGACCATGGCCTCCATAATCATGTGAGTCAGTTCCCACAATAAATCTCTTATATATCTATATCTAATCATCTATTTATCTATCATCTATCTATCATCTATCTATCTATCTATCTATCTATCTATCTATCTATCTATCTATCTATCTATCTATCTATCTATCTAAACCTTACTGGTTCTGCTTCTCTGGAGAACCTGAATGCAGCAAGTAACCCATGTTTTGCCTCATTTTATATATCTGACATCTGATCTAGCAATTGCCACCTCTTAGTATTCCTTAGCTACTAGAAAAATGGAGAGCTCAGACCAGAAAACTCCTAAAAAGCCCAGAGATGTGGCCTGAGCCAGGTGAAGGAGAATATACACAAATTTAACAGGTCAGTACAAATCCACACACCAGGACATGCAATCCCAAAGCATCCACAGGGATCTTACCTGCCCACAGAGAGCACGGTGACCTCTCCTTGACGCCTTGGGCGGCCTTCTTTAGACTTGTTGGTGGGTTTTATGAAGTGCCACCGCTTGTGCCTACACCGGTTACACACATCCCTCTCGACAGCACCGCCCACTGTGTGTAGATGGTGGCCACAGATGTGCTTCCCTGGGGTGCCACCTGGTGACAAGGGCCCGGGGCTCACAGGTGGGCTCCCAGGAGTGCTGGGAGTCACGGGGCTAGATGGGAAGAAAAGGAAACAGACGGCAGAGCTGGTTACTTAAAAGAAACACCAACGAGGCAATCTCTCCCTGTGCCATGTAAGAAGCAGGTTTAAATCAAAAGAAAACAAAGCCTCTTCCCATTACACAACTGGGCTTTGTGAACTGGTCTTAAGACAGCAAATACTCAGCTCTTATGAGTATGTACTGACAGCTCATTTTAAACAGCAATAATGTGATTCATGACTTCTACAATGAAATTAGCTGCCTGGAAATAAACCACTGCTTCTTCCAATGATACCCTGTCTTTAAGGGATTAGGTTTCTCTCTAAATGACTGATCTCCATTCTCATGCGATCATACTAATTTCTCACACACAGCAAAGTGCCTGCTTAGATTTCTAAGCAAAGAGATGCCCTGGAGGATTGATAAACTTAAAATTCCAATCCGATTATCAAATGACTTAAGGTAGAATATTTTATCCAATCTGACTATTGCACCAAAGGAAGAAAGCTTTTTAGGTTAAGATAGCAAAAGTGATGCTCAAAAGAGATGCTGATGGAGTTGATAATAGTGATAAAAAAATAACTAACGGTATTCTAAGCATTTGATATATGTTAATTTAATTAATCTTTACAGAACCCAACTACCTTAGTCTAAAAATGTGAGGCTCATGAGACGTTAAATAACTTGCCTAAGGTCACACAGCTAATAAGTGATGGAGCTGAGGTCCAAATCTAGAAAGTCTAATTCTAGAAACCATGATCTTAACCATCATATAGTGCTTCAGAAACAGGGAGATCACTTTGATAATCTGGAAGAAATCCAGCCAGACCATCCAAAATATAAAAAGCAAAAGTATATAGGCCAGAGGTTGGTTACTTTCAAAAAGCACATGTCAAGGCTCTGGTCCACTAGAAAAGAAAGAATTAAAAGAGGACAGGCCAGCCTGACCAGGAACCAGCCTTCTGACATGGTGTACGTGGGTGTAGGTGGGGTGATACGTCACAGCAAGGCCTGACACCTGAGACTGTGCCAAGACCCCCAGAAGCACGTGGAAGCCGTATGACTGCACAAACCAGCCTTTATGCTGCGGAAGCCAGCCTGCTTCACATGAAAAAGAAGTGTAACCCATGATTGAGGAAATAGCCTCAAATATCACAAATGACCAATAGCTTCCTGGTGCTCTTTAGGGAGGCTCTTTCAAGCGTTAAAATAAAAAAAAATAAAAAAATAAAAAAACATACAGCAGCAGCTTCCTGGGACAAAACAATGTTAAATTAACACCACATGATAGAAGGTTGAATTGAAAAGTTTAAGAACATTCATCCAACAAACACTTCTCAGGTACCCGCTGTGCATAAAACCCAATGAAGGCACGACGTGCTGCCCGAAGATGACAGGGGCAAAGGCAGCGTGAGCTAACCTGGTCCTAACACCAGGTATCTGGTGCTCAGGGCTGGAACATGGGGGAAATCATAGCTTGTATGTCTCTATGAACTACACCATCAGAGCCTCCTAAACCAACCTTTCTGCACTGAGTTACCTCGCTAAAATGCAAAGCGAACATGGCCAGTTTGACAAGCACTGATTAAATATTTAAGATGCGCTGGGTGCACCACCGACAGAGAAAGCAGAAAAACCTCCAAACTCCTTGCCACATCGCTTGGTCCCAACGAGCCATCCTGGCCCTTCCTGCTACAGCATGTTCTCTGGCCACCCCAGACAGAAGCTTCCCAGGTGTGTTCCCCACTTCCCTGTCCCAGGGCCTTTTCTCCTGGACTTTCTCTCTCTACAAGCAGCCCCTGCCTCTTGTCTCCGCTTGTCGCATGCCTGGCTCAGATGGCACTTATTCTGTGTGTCTTCCCTGAGCTCCCACTGGCGCCATGGGACCCCTGAGCACCCAGTCTTTACTTCTCCTACAATCTCCTCATGTTCTCCACCACAAGGCCTCACACACGTCTCCGTACCCCACTAGACCGAGTCTTCCACGGCAAGGATCTGAATGCCCAGCTCCAACACAGTCCCCAGCACACAGCAGGCACTCAATACATGCTCCTTATTGGAGAAATGAAAAATTATATAGCAATACAGTTCTGTAATTAATTAGAAAGACTGAGATGCTCAACAACCATAACCTAAAACTGGTAATACAAAAATAGAACTTAGCTGGTGCCCCTAAACCAGCCCGAGATTACATTTAATCATCATTGTGCATGGAGGTCTTTTGGTGCCTGAGGTATTTCATATTCCTTATGATAACCCAGTGAAGTTGGGACAGTGGCTATCTCCATCTTATTGGTGATGAAACTTGAGCTCACAGTGGTCGGTTAACTTCCCCAAGAAGACATGCTCAATACGAGTAAGTAGTGGAGGTCAGACTCAACCCAGGTCCCCAAACCAAGGCTGTTACTTCCTCCCATCACCATTCTCTAACACAGTGGTTCTCAACCAGGAGTGATTTTGCCCTCAGAGGACATTGACAATGTGCCAAGGCATTTACGGGGGAGGGGGGCACTGGCATCCAGTGAATGGAAGCCAGGAATGTTGTGAAACACTCTCCAATGCATAGGACAGTTCCCCACAGGAAATAATTATCTAGCCCAAAGGTCATCAGTGCCAAAGGTGGGAAACCTGCTCTAGCAGACAACTGAAAAAAATGTCCCGTTGAATGGGAGAAGGAACACTCACCTTTCAGGATCACACAGGCTGTTATCTGCTACCATTGCCTTTAAAACATCAGCATTTGCTAAGGGGGGGGGGGAAATAAAGAATTAAAATGGCACGAAAAAGATGAGTAATCATAGAATTATCACATCAGAAAAGCTGTTGAGAAAACAGCAATTGAGTTCCTTCCGTTCATAGATGAGACCCTGGGGCCCTGGGGAGGGGAGGGTCTTTCCCAAGGTAAATCTGCACTATGGCACCACTGCCAATAACTGTCACTTGGGAATTCAGTATGAGTGACAGAGACTCTACATAGAGGAAAGCAGATCTACTATAGAGTTTTGCTTCCTACACATCGTTACAATATAACATAGAAGAAGACATTTTCCCCACCTCTCAAACCAAAGGGACAATTAACATACTGCTGCTCCCCTGCATTTAGCTCAATTTGCTAAGTATGTAATAAAATATATGTCTTAAAAGACCTGTATTCTTGATTTCTGTGTGCCCTCATAATAAGCTCTAAACTGGATACACATGTAGTTTGTATCAAGTCTATCCCACATAGAATTTCCCGGTGGAGCCATTGGGTTTCCCTCTCTCTCCTTCCTGAACAGACCAAACCCTTAACTCTGGCCAGATAGCTTCAATTTCAAGTGTTGGTCACCCATGCAAATAACCTAATATGGACTAAGTAAAGTTAGACTCCTAATGTTAATTCTTTTCAAAAAATCCATTTCGTACATGGCTGTCAACAAAAGCAAATTGAATCTAAGTTTCTGAGGTTCCCACCCCACCCCCACGCACAGACGCACCATGTTTTTCTCCCCTCTTCTACAGCGGTCAAGCTCCCAAGGATAAAACCCAAAAAGTGAACATTCAAGTTCCTCTTGGATATTTAATTGGCAAGGCCAAATGTTATTGCTGACTCTAACCTTTCCATTGATTTTTAAAGCACCATTCTCATGACCAACCACAACAAATCCTTTAGAGAGTAAAAAGATCACTATTTATCATGTGAGCTAACACCAATACTTAACATTTAACACCTCAAATGACATCTCTAGAGAAGGAAAATTAACTCTAGTTCCAACACTGCTGCTTTTCAGTGCTAACAGTTAAGGGTTTAAACAGTATTCCTCAACTTTTTTTAAGTATTGCCCCACCCGGAAGCCTTTTCTGACATTTTGTTCTCTAATCGCCTTCCCACAAAATTGTAATACAGCAGATACAATATATCTGTTTATGTACTATATGTATATCTGTGTTTTATATATAAATATTGAGTTTTTTACCCCCACAATATAATTTTCACCCAATCACAACCCTTGCAAACGCACAGGGTTTTTAAAGAAATACTAACATAGCATACCATCCTTCTCTAAAAGAAATTCCTTCTTTGAACTTTATGACTATCTGTGAGGATGCCCAAATGCATTTCCAAACACAAGTTTGGCTGTAAGTAAGGCTTGTCATGACAAAGAAAGTACTGAAATGGATCGGCAAAGACACAGTAACCTCTGAAAAGACAAATTTAAATGTATTCTAGTGATGTCAGTCATTTTCCCTTTTGACTAATATTAAGGATTCATTAAAAAATTCTTCTTCTAGATAACGAGATTAGGGAATATACAAGTTTTCCAGTTGACACTTGTATTCTGTCATCATTTACCAAACTTTAGAACTATAAATAAAAAAGAGAAAAACAACCTTGAAAAAAAGTATGAAGACAAAGATAGCACTCATAGCACTCACTTATAAGAAAGAGCTTTTCAAAAACGAAAGTTTGAATAGCTGCCTGAGCAAACCAATCACCTATAGAATGATGACTTCCTTTAGAAACACAGAATTATAAAATTAGCCCAAGAATATTAATAAAATATACTAAAATCATTACTAATACTTGTTTTCTATTGACTTGTATTGTTTCTCATGTATTCATATATTCCTGTACCTCACCCTTATCGCTTAGAAATAATTAGTAAACAGCCTCTTTGTTCCCTACGAGTGAAGTCTTTAAGAGTAGACTTAAGTTTCTCTGAAAATATCACCCACAGCCACCCTGTCTGAGGAGGTTTGGTATGTGGGACACACACACACACACACACACACACACACACACGCGCGTGCAGCACGCACACGTGCACTCACATACACCCATGTCTAATTTCCAGTCTATGCCAGGGATTGAACTTCAGTATTCTGTCCCTTGGGAACATTTTTGGTTTCTTGTGATGAGAAAACTTTCTAACATAATGCATCCATTTGGACTTCCACACATGCTTTAGTTTGTCAACTATACCCCCCTTCATGGATTTCCAGAGAATGGGAGGAGTGAGTTACGGGACAAAGAAAAACTGTCAAGAACAGGGGAAATTTGCTAGTGGGCAGTAATTTCCATAAAATTGCTTCCTCTGCTCTTTCCTGAATTTGTGCCTGATAATATGCATAAAGCAAATAAAATCAGGCAAGAAAAATGCCCTGTTTTCTTTCCCACCACTATTGTCTTCAAAGTTTTCCCTTACAAACAAGGCAAATTTCCCAAGCAAGAACTACTATTGCCGTCACCAAAATTAGAGTGTGCCAGTCACTGACTGAAAGCTTTCCAGGCCTTACCATGTTTGACTTTCCCGACAGCCCTAGCAGTAGGTAGAATTATCACCCCCATTTTACAGATATAGAGACTGAGGCCTAAAGGCTGTACCTGGCCAGTGTCACAGGGTTAGAGTCAGAGACCTGGACACAAACCCTGGTCTCTAGGGTGGGTGCTTTTCACCCCTTCAATATCCAAGTCTCTACCCAAATGATTAATAGTTCAGTAGTTCACAGGATGTTTGCATAATCATTATAGCAAGTTTCAGAGACCTACTCAGTAATCATAGTTTATAAAGGAATCCTTTTCGCCATAATATAAATTGAGGTAAGAATTTCACAAAGGGATCCCTCTGCCTAGAGTAGAATAATCAGGGGCACTTGGAGAATAATCATAATACTCTTAATTGTCACTTTATCAGATGGTTTAAGGGCCTGGCAAAAAAGCTCAGCTATGGAGTTGCAGGTACTTTCTAAATTCCTACACAATGCAAGAAAACCCCAATGACCTTGAAAACACTCTTCAATTCAATTCCACTTAGAAAGGAAAATTAAAGGTAGAACTATAGTTAATCCAAGCCTTGAGATTAGGAAGAAAAGAATCAGTCCTCAGGTCAGCTGATAAATTCATCCTTCAAGAGATATTTATCTAAACTAACCTGATTTGCAACATTCACGACATGGTATGTTTAAACCACAAACAAGAATGTCACCATGAGTACAGGTGAAATATTACTCCTTTAGCCAAATTAAAAATGCAAAGTAGAAAACTAGTCATATATCATGATTGCAAATTCTTTAAAATATGCAAATCTAGGCAAAGAAAACCTAAATGAACATGGGGAAATAGTAATAAAGGGGTTATACTTGATTGTAGTTCTTTTTTTATTTTTTTCAGTTCATAAAGAAAACTTATGCTATGGTGTGCTTACAATTAAAAAAAATTAGAAAGTTAAATTAATACCAACCGGGAGGTCTAAACTGAGAGTGAGTTCAGAATCTCTTAATGACAGAACCAAAGGAAAAATAAAAATAGATTTGTTCTATAGAGGATTTAAGTTCAAGGGCAAACTGAAAAGGCTAGTTTATAACTGGTAAGAGGCCCAAGCAGGTAACTAAGCACCCAGCTGTGGTTTTGCACAGGCTGGAAGCTAAAGAGGGCCACAGCTGGAAAAGGGATGTCCAATGAGATCAGATGTCTCCTGGTGGCTAAGGAGGACCAAGCGCTACACACAGGATCAGAACCTCCACCCACTGTCACAGGCCACTGGCCAAATCACAGGCAGACAGATGACAGCATTGACAGGAGACGAGAGTAAAGAATCAGACAGAAGGGAAAGAACTGGGGGCAGCAGAGAAAGAGTGAAAACAGTGCCCTGGGTATTACTCTAACATACCTACTGGTGATCACAGCAGCGAAAACAGAAAGGCTACCCTCCAAAAGGAAAATGACATAATTTAAAAAGAAAAGAACAGACTCATCTGCCCTTGAGTGTGGGAGGTGACAAAATTAAACAGTATGCTTGCTCCAGCGACCGAAACGCTTCTCCTCTGCCGTAATTAAGAGAAGGGCCCACTGCTGGCACCATCCTGCCATACAATGGTTGTGTGACCTTGGGCAAGTTTCTTACCCTCTGGGCCTCTGTGGCCTCCTCTGAAAAATGGGGTGGCAACAGGGCCTACCTCATGAGGTAGCTCTGAGCATTTATTGAGTTAATGTTTCCAGAGCTTTATAAACTACCCCAACAGTACACTGGGTCTCCCTGAAAGGATGACGTTTACCATCCCTATTTCCTTCTGCCACAAAAGAGGCAGTACTGGCAAGTGGTTAAGTACGGATTCTAGAGCCAGATGCTAGAGCTCCAATCTCAGCTCTGCCACTTGCCAGCTGTGCAACTCTGGCAAGTGACTTAAGCACTGTGGGCCTCAGTTTCTCAACTGTAATTAAAATGGGACTAAAGTATCCAAATCACAGGGTCGGTAGTTTCTACAAAGCCCTTAGAACGGGCCTGGCCCACAGCAAATATGCAGTGCGACCTGTGAAGCTACATGTAAGGACTTCAGCCCCTAGCAAAGTTTCCACAGTTGACTTATTTTTATCGAGTCAACGCTTCATCCAGCATTCACTAATTTAGCAGCTGCTTCAGCTCTCAGAAGCCCAGGTCCCAAGGCCTCCAAGCTCCCCTAAGCCATGGGAGGCAGTTTCGAATACACAAGGCGCAGGAACAACGAAGGGGCCGTCCACGCCATGCCCACTCTGAACCTCTGCAGCGGCTGATGCTTCTACGCCAAGAACATATTTGCGTATTTCTTGTGAAAATTAGAAACCACTTTTTCATGCAACAGAAACATGCACCACTGGGGGCTCGAGAATAGCATCGCTGACATTTGTTCCCTGAAGGAAGGTCTCTGGAAGACAGAGATCAAAATCCTAGTGTTCTGGTTCGTTTCATTCTTATTTTAAACAACATTCTATTAGGTCTGTCATCTGGTTTTATATTGTGTAGAAACTGAGCGCTACAACATAGAAGAGAAGAGAGACAATGAGGTACAGTCGTGAGTGACCAGAGCTGCTCACTAACCATGTGAGCTCAGCCACTTGGAGCCTTCATATCTTCATCTGTAAAATGGACATAATAATACTCATTTTAAAGAGATATTCTGAGGATGAAATGAGATTATACACGTAAAGCCCCTAGATCTAGGGGCACACTCTGTAAAGAGCAGTGAAAATTATGCTGCCATAGGAAATGGCTGTTTTTCTAAAGCCAAACACATTGACCAGCAGCTTGGACCAGGCCGGTGCTCTTGTTGATAGAATATAGGGGTCAAGGATCCCCTGGGAAGGGCTGGGGGCAGATGAGCAGTATTTACTGAGTAGTACAGAGGTACTTCAAGTTCTGGACAAATGACTCGGCTGCATCAGGCCACACCGCATGAGTTAGCACTGACTAGAGCAAAGACAGAGCCCAAGGAACGTTTTCTTTTACATTCTCGTGAGAATTCCGAGTTGGGGGATCTGCCGCTATTAGGTATACGCGCAAGAAGCTGCACACACCTCAACAGTCACCGACCGCATGGTATCGTCCTATGGACATAATAACCAGTGTTCAGAACAGTGACCCTGATTTATCTCATCAAGATTAAATTAACCCTCCATTTAAGCAGACAGGATTTATGATACATTTGAGAGGGGAAAAAAATGCTTCAATCCATGAAGGTTAAACCTACTAAAAGTTTTAATACTTAAGAATAGATTACAGAATAGGCAAATCCAGAGAGACAGAAAGCAGTGGTGGCCAGTGGATGGCGAATGGGGGGTGACTGCTTAATGGGGACTGAGTTTCAGTTCGGGATGATGACAAAGTTCTGGAGCTGGATAGTGCTAATGGCTGTACAACACCGGGAACACACATAATGCATTGTACACTGTAAAATGGGTGTAATGGTAAGCTTTACGTTATGTGTATTTTACCACAGTTTTTTTAAAAGCACACAAAAAAGAACAGATAATATTTGAGCACTTATTTTACTAAGCACTTTATATGCAGTATGTCATACCAATGCTATAAGGTAAGTATTGTTATTACCCTGGTGTTACAGCGGAGGAGCTGAGGTAATGTGACTTTCCCCATATCAAAGAGATGCCAGGATTTGAAGGTAGGCCACCACCTCCAGGTCTGACTCTGCAACACTCCAACGACTGGCTCTTAGAAAACTCACTTACCTTCATTTTTCATGATATAGTGGACAATTCGCCCAACGGTGTCACTATTTTCATTTATACTATCATTCAACTCTGAAAGAGAAAGGGGAGGGGAGGATGGGTTACAAGTGGTCTGTTGCATCAAGTTAACGAGATTCAGTGTTAGATCCCAAGACTTCACTGAACAGTTTCCAGAAAGCTCAGCCAATCACCCATGGTGCTGAGTCCAGGCTTTCTTCCTTCAGCCCAAAACTGCTTGACGCATAGCACGCAGTGACTTCCTTGGCCTAGCAGGCATAAAAAGTATCAGAGATCACTCTGTCAGTCTCTTCTCAAACCCAAACATCCACTCACTTTCCAAGACAACAATTTCATGCATCTATATCAGTCCATACTACTATTATTTCTCTCTTGTTATTTTGTTAAACCCTTAGGGGAAATGGAAAGAAAAAAGCTAATTAAAAGAAAAAATTCTTCTTGGATTTTAATTGCAGATGCATTATACAAATGCAGAGTATTAATTTCTTTTTTAAATTGGAGAATTATTCATCCATGTTTACAAGACGCTCCTTTCTTTTAAACATACTTCCCAATGATCTACATTTTGGCTGTGGTTATCTGCCCACAAATCAGTTTACTTTGGGAGATTCTATATATGTGATAGTCTTTGGAAAAAAAAAAAATCAAACCTCTGCTCTGAAACCGGTCTGTATAATTTGTTTCAATCAAATAAGAGGGAAGAGGGAGGGTTGAAACACTCCATCCTAGTCCACGGAGAATGAATCAAGATGTCAAACGAACTACCCGCATATCTGGAAAAGTGCTTTCTCCATCATAGTCGGCCTCCTCCTCCGTGAAAATTCATGTTTGGTTGTTCAGTGCAAATGCTGACTGCTAAGCCAACCTACAGAGCATCTACAAAGGCGGAGAGGAGGGTGCGCCACTTCTGTTGACAAACACTCGGCTTTGGTTTGCTCATAAGCTTACACATGACTCATCCTGCAACCGTGCTCTTTCTCTGCCTCAAAGGTCAGCGAGGGTGGGAAAAACCTACAGGCCAGCAAGCTGGCAAGGAATCAGGAAGCTCCCTGCACTCTGCCCTTGGGGCTGGCTTGAAGGGTGACCTACTCCAAATGTCACCGTTCTGCAAAAACTGCCCTTTGAGGAGCTGAAAGAGATGGGGGAATTACCTAGTACGCCCCAAGGCCCAGGTCAGGAAATGTCCCTAAAGGATGGTTGGAAAGAACATCTGTGGAAAAAACATAACTTCATCTCTTAGGTTTTTCTAAGCACTACCCAACAACTCCATGTTAAGAGGCAAAGGTAAGTCATCCTGACGTTAATACAAAAGCACCAGTTTATCCATTCTTATACTGCACTGTTCACACAATCTTTTAACAAACATAAACTCCAATCTCATATATTTAAGACAGAACTCCTCCAGCAAAAGTAATATGCCCAAAATGGTGAGCTCTATTTAATTTTCCCATCATTTTCATTAGAAACTAATTCAATAATAAGGATTAAAATTTACCAAGTGGCCATCTGTGCAAAACACCAAATGCACCTTCTCTCTAAATTTCACAATAATCCTACAAGGTGAAGGTTATTGTTCTCATATAAATGAAATTAGAATTTTAATTAATTGCCATTAAATTAATTAAAATGGGGCCGGCCAAGTGGTGCATTGGTTAAGAGCTGGCTTGGGACGCCAGAGGACCCTGGTTTGGATCCCACATGAGGGCCAGTGACACTGCCCTCTACAGCTAAGATGCTGAACAACAGCTCAACCTGGAGCTGGGCTGCTGTGAGTTGCCATCAACGGGGTAGGCTGCAGCCCCTGCTGCAGTGGGTTGCCACGGCTACCACGTGTAGCCAGCAGCCAGCATGAGCGGCCAGCAGCCGCCTGTGAGCAGCCGCCTGGAAGCCTGCGACTGATCTGCCTCACCCGGGAAGAGCGCAATGATGGTGCCAACTTGGGCCAGTGAAGCAGCGTCCTCCACAACTAGACTGAAGAACAAGGCGACAGCAACGTGTCTGTTCCCCTTCCCCCAATTCCCTAATTAAAAATAAAAATCGTCCCCACCCATACTCCCACAAAAAGCATCCAGGTTAATTACCTATCTTTTCGACCTTTTCCTCTTCCACGTCTTGCTCAGCTTCTGTCGTACAACGATAGCCTTTCTTCTTAAGCAGGTGGCAGACGAGGACCCCTAAAAGGCCCATGATGAAGAACACAGGGACCAGCGCAAAGGCGATATATTCTGGGTGTCCACTCCCAGTGTTGTTAGTGGGCGATGATGTCGTCTCTGCTCTGGAGTGCAACGTGTGGCTGCCACCATTTTCTGTAAGAAACGCGCGTGGCCGCATTACACGTCTGCAGGGAGCACGAAAACCTGACGACCTTGGGAAATATTCACATTGAGTCCCAGTCTGCTCCCCACACCACGGGCCATGCAGACACTGGTGGGTCTGCCAGAACAGGCACGTGCAGAGGGCCCAGGTTTGGGCTAGCACAGCACCATCCTGTCCCTGCTACTCATAAACTGGGTTCCACCCTGGATAACATTTTTTAAAACCTCTCCAAGCCATCTTCTGTTTCTTCACCTGTAAGAGTACCTACACAACATGGAATGAAAGTAGAGTTTTAGTGAAGTGCCCAGCACAGACTGAACACATAATCATTAGGTGGTGTTACAGCACAGACTCAGGGGACATGGGTTCAAGTCCTGGCTCCATCAATTAGCAGCTATGTGACACTGAACAAAGACAACATCTCAATGCTTCGGTTTCATTGCAAAATGGACATACGAATAGTACCTACGTACCCTTTCTAGGCTGTTATGAAGATGAAATAAATTAATACATGTAAAACATTTAGAACCATTTCTGCACTACAGTAAACGCTCACTACATGCCAGGCACCATTCGAGGCACTTGTGATATATCACTGGACACGACGAACAAAGGTCCTTGTCCTTGTGGAGCTTACCAGAGGATTTAGCAAAGGCGGGGAAAATCCAAGATGCCATCATGATTTTGGCCCAGGGGTGGAAACATAAAAATGGAAGCATGTGCATTTGTTTAGTCATTCACTGATCCAAATTAACATTTATGACATTTTGTGGAAAGTGCCATGCTGGGAGCTGGATATTGTAAGTGATAAATAACATAACTTGGCCAATGTCATCTTGGAGCTGGTAGGGTAGCATCAGAAACAGCCACTAAACAAGTCAACACATGGGCAGATGAGGACAAATTATAGAGGAGAAATGCCACGGAAGAGACACGAGTCACCAGAAGAAAAAAATGATAGTGGGAACCTATTTTATGATTTCAAAAATAAGGCAGCTGGGAAGGGGACATCTTTTGGAGAAAAGGAGCAATTTGCTTTTAGACATATCAAAGTAACACATGAACTTATACCAGGGGCAGCCGGGTATCTGGATGGGCCTGAGGGATGCCAGTTAGGATCCCTACATGGGGAATTAAGTAACCTAAGATATGGCCAATTAAGATAACAGAGAAAGAGCCAACTGTGTGGAAAAATCATCAAAGTACCAGTTCATGGACAAAAAAATGAGGAGGGAATTATCAAACGAAGGAGGGAGTTAGGTAGGATGAGGACTAAGGAGCAACGTGGGCTTTCATCAAAATGAAGTCTCATTGTTTGGAATACTCAGATTCTGAAGTGATAAAATGAGGCTTTTTTACATCAGGAAGATTCATACATATTGCTTAAGAAACCAAGAAATTGGAAAGCAAGATATATTTAATTCTAACCTCTCTCAAAGAGTATTTTGATGATAAAAAGAATCTGTGTTGTAATGATTACAAATACCAGGTGTGAAATGATCACATTGCATCACTGCAGCAAATAGTATCAAACAGAAGCCTAATTGCAAACCAGAGGGCTATCTCTTCAACACGGAAATAAACATCCATTATCTTTCAACTTGAACATGAAAGGAAATGGCTGGTTTCTTAGGTTTGTAAAAGCCTACTTTCATTATTCTATCAGACAACCTCTAGAATTCTGGATAACCTATATAATTTTTAACCTATATTTTTTTTCTGATTTCTCTTCCAAGAACCAAAATAATAAGTGAATGAATGAATAAATACATACACACACACTAAACATATGCAAATACAGCACCTAAATTAGGGTTTGGCCTTAAGCCTTACTTTCAGTAAAAACCAGAAACATTTCCTTGACTCCTTTAATAATTCTAAATAAGTTTATTTATTAGTTCCTTTTTAATATCACATATTCCACATACCAGGAGTAGGTGAAGCAGGCAGCATGCTAGGGCTGAGAGGGTTTTACTCAGGATCATGGTGTGTTTCAATCTGGAGGTGACAACAAGTTCTCTTTGGGGAGCAGTAGGACATGGGGAGGAAAGCAGAGAGGCTCAGAACTGGAGCCAAAGAGCTGCTCCTGAATCAGGTGGTTGAGGACGTGTCTTCATCGTTAATTTGGCAAGAGCTCATAGACACGGCCAATAGTTTAGTGGTTACCAGAGGGGAACGGGGGAGGGAGGTGGTAGATGAGGGTAAATGGGATCAAATACATGGTGATGGAAGGAGAACTGACTCTGCTGGTGAACACACAATGTGATTTATAGATGATGTATTACAGAATTGTACACTTGAAACCTATGGAACTTTGCTAACAATTGTCACCCCAGTAAACTTTAATAAAAAAAAAAAATCAACTAGCAAACCCTTGCAAATACTACGTATTTACAGTCATTTACATGTCATTTACAAACATGTATCACTCACTTAATTTCATAATTATTGTACCATAAAAAAACTGAAGACATACATCTAAATTAATAAAGCATGAATTACAAACAGATGCAATATAGCCCTGAGGTTAAAAGGTCAAGACTACCTGGCATAAATAATAGCTGGGCCACTTACTAGGCTTGTCACCTTGGGCAAGTTATTTAACTGTGCTCAGTTTCCTCCCTGTAAAAAGGAGTCGAAATGACTGTGTCTTTCTAAGGTGATTCTAAAACATGGCCCCAAATTCTTTGATATGGCTCCCATGGAGAGGTGAGATCTATATCTCCTCCCTTGTAATATATACTCTTTGCTTTGCCTGACCAATAAACTATGTTGGAAGTGATGCTTTGTCAGCTTCCAATGTTCAATAACCACATTTCAACTGTTCAATAGTCACATGTGGCTAATTGGCTACCATACTGGAGAGGTCAGATAAAGAATATTCCATGTTCCCAAAAGTCCTATTAGACAGACCCATTATAGACTATAAGGAATCACTAAAAAGCAAAATGTTGACTGGAGACTCTTCAGTGCTCTCCCTCAGCAATTCAGTGAAGAACACCTTTTGAATCACGAAGAAATTATTCACTAATAATACGTAAAATATTGATTAACTTAGGTAAGTTTAGCTTTCTTTCAATTTTCACTAATAATTTGCTTAAAGACAACATACATCTTTCTCCTTCACCCCCAGCTGAATCATATCTGAACTATGAACAAATTATTGAGTCCAAATTAATAGCAAAGGTTGTTGCAGCATTATTTATAAAAGTTAAAACATGGCAGCACCTGCCATGTTTGACAATGGGATAATAAGAAAATATCCAAGTCAATCATAGTCGACCATTTGAGGGAATAATGTACACCATTTAAAGCTATTCATCAAGATGTTGTGAAGATATGGGAAAACATTTATGATCCAACATTGAATTTTAAAAGTTAAATCGAAAATCTTACACTCAGTTATGACTTAACTCGTTTTTAAAAATGCATAAAGGCATACAACATACAAAAAAATGACTAAAATATTAAGTGATTTTGGGTAATTGAATATTTAAAAATGTATTTATATACTTTTCGGCAATTTTCTAAAATTTGTATATACGTATTACTTTTGTACGAAGGTGGAGGACACTTAAAACATATAGAGAGGGCCAGTCGAGTGGCTCAGTTGGTTAAGAGCTTGCTCAAGAGTGTGAGCTCTGAGCAACAGAGTCGTTGGTTCGATTCCCACATGGGCCAGTGAGCTGAGCCCGAGCTGAGCTGCCGCTGAGCTGCCAACAGGTGGCAGGATGGCTCAGCTGGTGAGAGCACGTGCTCCTAATGACAAGGTTGCCTGATCGAGATGGTGGGCTATGCCCACCTGCCTGCAACTGAAGACTGAACTCAGCACCTTGAGCTGAGCTGCTGCCCGGATGACTCTGGATAGAGCGTGCACTCTTAACAACAAGGCTGCTGGTTCCCCTCCCACATGGGATGGTAGCTATGCCCACCTGCAACTAACTGAACACAGAACCTTGAGCTGAGCAGCACGCAGCTGGACTTGGAGCTGAGCTTGCTGCACCCTCCACAACTAAGATTGAAGGACAACAGCTTGGCTGTTCCCCTTCCCCAATTCCCCAACGCTGTTCTCCTCCCCGAATTCCCCAATAAAATCTTTAAAAACAAACAAACAAAAAAACATACATAGAGAGAGCAGAGGTTGTCAGCCATTTGGGAGTCACAGACGCCCCTGGAAACCTGTTGGATGCTATGGCTCCTATTCCGAAATTTTGAATCTAATTATTGTGAGCTCCGGACCCCAGTTAATATGAGAGCAAGTGATATGATAAAGATGACACCCAAGTTTCTGTTTGAGCAACATGGTAGATATTCATTAAGATGAGAACTGTCTGAAAAAAAGGTTGCTTGGTATTATAGTTTCAATTTTGTCTCCCTCCCAATTCCTACGTTGGAGCCCTAACCCTAAGTATCTCACAATGTGACCTCATTAGGAGGTAGGATCTTTACAAAGGTAATCAAGTTAAAATGAGATCATTACAGTGGACCCTTATTCCATATGACTGATGTCCTTCTAAAGAGGAGAAATTTGTAGACAGACATTCACACAGGGAAAACGCCATGTGAACTTAAAAGGCAGAGATCGGGGTGATGCTTCTACAAGCCAAAAAAATACCAAAGATTGCCAGCAAATCACCATAACCTAGGAGAGAGGCATGGAACAGATCCTTCCTCACAGCCCTCACAAGGAAGCAACCCTGCCAACCTTGATCTTGGATTTCTAGCCTCCAGAACTGGAAGACAATATGTTTCTCTATTTTAAGCCACCCACTTTGTGGTGCTTTGTTACAGCAGCCTTAGCAAACTAATATACTTGGCATGGAGAGGACAATATCACGAGTTCAGTTTTGAACATGTAGAGATAGAGGTGAATGGGGGACATTCAGATGGAAATATCTATTGAGCAACTGGATCTACTCCATGAGGAAGCTGAGGAACAGAAGCCAGGGCTCTACGCTAGGACACAAAGGAAGGAGTTTCCAGAAGGATT